ACTAAGTGGTCCCCTCTTCTCCTGTGTCTTAAGACGTACCCTTGTAGGTGGTGATGTGTAGGCTGAGGCCTTGTGGGTGAAGGCCAAGGGGTGTCAGCCCTCAGCTGGGCACAGCCTGCTTTAGTTTGTTCTGTGAAAGGCACCTCCTTTTACAGCAGTGGGTCGGGCAGCTGGGAGCTCAGGTAACACGGTGTTCTCTTCCCAGGAGCCTAGGCTGCACTGTGGTGGAAATGCTGACGGAGAAGCCACCTTGGGCAGAGTATGAAGCCATGGCTGCCATCTTCAAGATTGCCACCCAGCCCACCAACCCTCAGCTGCCCTCCCACATCTCTGAACACGGGCGGGACTTCCTGAGGCGCATTTTTGTGGAGGCCCGCCAGAGACCTTCGGCCGAGGAGCTGCTCACGCACCACTTTGCACAGCTTGTGTACTGAACTCTAGGCCGTGCTGCTGCTGGCCGCCCCCCCTGCGTGGGCAAGGGGCTGCTGGGGGCTCAGCCAGGTTGCTGCTTCTCCCAGGCAAGGCTGTGGACCCTAGAGCCGCAGTCCAGCCAGCGTTTGCTGGGCCTCTTCTGTCCCAGGGCTTGGAGCTGGGGGTGGGGGGCAGCCTCAAGGACTGGGAGCCCCCAGCCTGCTAAACCAGAGGGCTCCAGCGTCCTGAGCCCAGTGTGGATGGGAAGGGACCAGGAACCGTGTGTGAGGCAACTATGGCGCCAGCCTTGGAGTTGCGTCCTGACACTGCAGTCGGCAGAGGCCCAAAGTCTGGGGCACAGGACTGGCGCAGGGTGTGAACAGTGTTATTTTCATTCAGAGTGTTACTTTGTGTCTGGAGGCCACCACAGGCATCTGTGGGTTGGGCCAGCCCACCCAAGCCTGAGATCAAGTCCAGCATCCTCCCAACCAGTGGAAGGCAGAGGCCGGGCTGCCTTCTCCCCTCGGTCCCCAGGCCAGCTTTGCCAGTCCTGTCCTTTACCAAAGATGAATGAAGCCAGTGTTACGCTGCCTTATTCAGGGAAGGAGGCGCCTGCCCTGCCTGTCCCTGTGACCCTGCCCCCCACCGCCAAGCAGGGGCCTGGGATGTGGAGGTGCCCCCGCTGAGTGGGGAGACCCAGCTTTGTCAATGCAGTTGTTTTTGTTTTACAAGTTGGAGTCACTCGTATGCTGTACCCAGTTTCTAAACTGGAGACCTTGTGTGCCCTCTGGGTTCTGAGTACCCAGCTATGGGCTTGGGGCTTGGGCTGCCAGGATACTGACCTATGGTCCTGGCCAGGCATCTGTCCCCCACTGGAGCAGAAAGATGGACGATGCAGGACGAGCTCTGACCCGGCTGGCTGCCCTGAGCCCACTGGCCCAGAGCCTTGTCACTGGGCAGAAGGGCAGCCCCTGTGCTGCCACAGGCTGTGTGCAGACCACCCGCTCTGCTTCCGTAGCCAGCCTGGCCCACCTGCTGAGGTCTCAGCCTGCTCCCTTCAGACCTCCCCTGGGGAGTGATGGCAACAGGGGCTGGGGGAACAGTATCTCCAAGCAGCTTAGAGTTGGCCGTATTTACCTCAGCCTGGGCGCTGGTCCTTTCTTCCGGCCCCTCCCCTCCAAAATGTGCCTATTGCTAAAGCTCCTCCCTCTCGACGCGCTGTTTCCTCGGGAGTTATCGTTAAAGAAAACCAAGCCAGTGCCTGGGGAGCTGGGGCTCAGTGCCAGGCAGCTCGCCGCCAGCCATGCCCACCTCCCCGCGGGCACCCGAACAAGCCAAAGCCTTCGTTGTATGTTGACGATGCACTTTTATGAATGTAGTTTCTATCGCTGTTTTTAGCCTTTTCACATCATGTAATGTGAGGCCTTGTACTTGTTAATTTATATCTCAGATCATATTGGATGGTTTTTATATCTATCAATTCTAGACTGTTACAGGTGACGGACGCCTCAAGAGAGAAGACAAAATGAAAGCAGCTGGTTTTGCAGGAACGTGTGCTGCATGGGGCTGTGTGGGCCTGGGCCCCAGCATTTCCCCACCCCCACCCCCTGGGGCCTCTGGCGGGTGCCCCAGCCCTGCACAGAAGACAGTGGGTGCACGGCTGCGCCCCCCCCGCCCAGGTCCAGGGTGGGACCGGCCCCTCCTCTCGACCACAGCTGCAGCGCGGCAGCTCGGCCTCTCCACGACCCCGTCCTGACGGCGGTAGCATGCTTCTTGGCCTGCATCCCCACCCCAGTACCTGTTCCCCACGAGGAGACGGTGTGGTGCCAACGCCGATGAGATGAGACGACTCTGCGTGTCCCGGGTTCAGGCTGCCACAGAGCCCCTGCCCCTGGGGTCTTACCTCCCAGGGAATGTGTTGTAAAAAGGAATTTGAAAACCAGCCAATCAATCCTGTGTTCCCAAACTACAAAAAAACATGATTTTTTTTGTGCCAAAAACTGTGGACATGCTGGCTCAGCATCCTCAGGACCAAGCTATGGCTTAATTTTAATTTATTATTTTTATTAAGTAATCCAGATAAAATTTGGGGCCCCAGGACGGCCTGGGCCCAAAGGTTCCGAAGGGCAGTTTCCTAGCAGCCCCCGGGGCTGTGGGAAGGGGCCATGCCGCCATTTTCTCATTGTTCCGTGGGTATGTCTGGCTTGGCCAACCCAGCGCGGAGAGGCCGGGCCTGGGGTGGTGCCCTCTGCCAGCTCTCGTGCCCTCCCACCACCCCCAGCTCTGTGTCTGTGTCTGAATTGTGGATCGTGCAGAAGAACCTGCAGCCATAGTTATTTGACTGTATCTTGACCGAGGGCTTGCAGTGCAAAGCCAGGCCAGTGTCGCGCATTACTTCAATAAAAGGGATCATTTATACCAGAGGGGTCCTGTGGTAATGCTTATGGTTGGGGTCGGGAGTAGGCATCTGCCTGGGAGGGGCTGGGCATGGTGTGTGGTAGCAAGCTTGGGCCTCTTGAGCAGAGGACTTGAAATGGCTCTAGGCAAAGGGGTTCTGGGGTTCCTTGGCTGGGTACCACTGTTAAGTCAGGAGGTGATTTCTGGCCCCCAGGAGCTCCACTGAGGGTGTTCCGTCAGGGCTGGTTTGCTGAGGTGTCTGTCAGACCTCCCTAGCAGTCTCACCAGTGCCGGGGTCCCTAGGACATTCCTGGTACTTGTAGTCTTCCTAGCCAGGGAGGGACAGCCCCTCAGGGCCCACCCTCGCAGGGCAGGGCTCACGTACCTCGGGTGTCACCCTGGTTCCTTGCTGCTGTTAGGCTTACTAACTTTGAGCGGAAAGAGAGGCCATCCTTGTCCCCATCCGAGACCTCTGGGATAGGAGGCTGGGCCGCCCAGAGTGAGGTGCTTAACAGCCCTCCTCATGAACAGGTTGCCATCTCTATTTCCTGTTAGCTCTGCTGCTTTAAGGGACAGTGCCTAGCATAGTGGCCCGTATGCCATGAGAACCTGAGGCTGTTCGCTGTCCCATTCCATGGGTATGAGGCCCTCAGGAACTTAGGGAGATGTATGGGACAGTAGCAGCAAATCCTCTAGGAGGCTCTGCTATCTTGTTCCACCATCTAGCCCCTGGGCAGTTTGGGGGAAATCAGGACAGTTGATTTGAGGCAGGACAACCCAGACTGCTACCTATATTCTACTGGGGGAGGGTGTCTCAGGCCTTCAAAGCTTGTCCTGTTTGCTGGAAGGGTTGTCCCAGAGTGCATGGGTTTTCAGGAAAGGATGGCAGCTTCTCCTTGAACTACTGGGTCAGGGCTGTGGCTAGCACACTCCCAAAGCTTGACATGGGGTGATATGACAGCAATGAGGGGGGCAAAAGAACACAGGAACTAGGAGGGACGCAGGGAGGTCGACACTAAACCTCCCGCCACACTTGGGGCTGCTGCTTCTCGCCACTTCTTGCTGATTTCTGGGGCAAGGAGGCTCAGCCAAGGTCTGAGAAGGGTTATGTCGTAGGCCCCGGTGAAGCCAGGCACTCCGCTCACTGACCGCTCGCGCTCAGACCTAATGCTTCTCTTCAGAGTGAGGTGTATATGTGAGCTAGGGACCAAGTGGAGTTGCAGTTATACAACCTCTCTGAGCCTGACAGCATGGAGACTTGGCTGGGAAGAGGAACACCCCCTTTTCTCAAACTGGCTAACATCTTCCTGACACCTACTGAAGCCCCCCTCCCTGGTCTTCACCAAGGCCAGGAAGTTCTGGGTGGACCCGACCCCTCTTCCCCTCCCCACAGGCCATTTGCATCCTTCCTGCCGCAAAGCCCCCATCAGGCCACAGGATACAGAGTCAGAATCTGTTTAAACATGTTTAAAACGGGTTGATCACAACAGTCACAACTGGCAGAAACAAGGGGGGTCGGGAGCACGGCCTCAGCCAGTCGTGCCGCTAGTCTCTGCGGCTCTCAGCCTGGCGGGTGTCTTAGCTTCCACTTCTTGACTCCCGTGGTGCGAGATGGTCCCCAGGCCCCCTGGGACACGTCCTGCCTTGTTGGGGGGAGACAGGCAGGGCTACTCCACTTCCCCATCCCTACCCCCCCCCACGGCCATGTGGGCATCCTGTGAAGCCCAGCAGGTGGCACTCTTGATGTCCTTCCAGTCTCCGTGGCTCAGGACCAGGCTAAGGGCAGAGGTAGATGGGGAGACATGGGGCCACAAAGGGCGCCAGGTGGCAGTGAGGGAGCTTGGGACCCTGAGGGGGAACATGCTGACTCCTTGCTGGAGAAAAGGCACCTAGATAGGGAACCTGGGCTTGGGGGCCTCCCAGGGGACCATGGGGTAAGGTGGGGTGGGGTGGGCTCAAAGAAGTGGGCAGCAGAGTGGAGAGCAGACCCCCAATCCTGGCTACCCAACCCCTACCCACTGAGGGAGAATGAAGGAATCCTGGGGCAGGGACCTGCTCCATAACCCTCCCCTGAGCAAGACAGCCTCACCCCATCCCACCCTGCCAGCACCCAAGCCCAGCTCCAGTCCCCTCCCCCCTCCCCACCGGACCATCCAGGCCCTTTAGGGCGCTAGTGGCAGGTCAGTGGGGCCTCAGGCTGTCTTAGTGCCGGAGTCCACCTCCTTGTGGGCCCAGAGCTCCTTGTGCTGTTTCCGGCCAAACCCCTCATCGTAGTTGCCTTTGCTCTTAAACAGCTGCTGGAAGTGGGGTTTGCAGTAGAACTCTCCATGCAGCGCAGCGTAGCTGCCCAGGCTGAGGAGGAACAGCAGGGCCCAGGGGGGGCAGGGCAGCCCGGTGGGGGCAGGCGGGGCCAGGGCGCACCTGAGCTTGGTGTGACAGTGCTTGCAGCAGAAGCAGGAGTTGTGGAAAATGAGCTTGTCTGCCACCAGCCGCTCCATGGGGTACACCGTTTTCTGGCAAGCAGCGCAGGTCTCCTTCACCTGGGCCCGGAGGCTGAAAGACTGTGAGGCAAAGACTCAGCAGGCGTCTGGCCCGGAGCACCCGACCTGCCCTCCCCTGACACTCACCCCAGGGCCCTACCTTGGAGCGCTGAACAGTGCTGCTCCCACCGCTGCTTTTGGCTTCCTGGGGGACAGGGGCAGTCAGAGAGGTCAGCTTAGAGGCTCCCCTGCCCCTGGTTGCAGTCAGTCACCAGCCCCGCCTCAGTGGATCCCAAGAGGGGACAAGGGTGGCGAGCAAATCCACTGTTCCTCACCCCTTCACTTCCAGGCCAAACTCCTGCCCAGGGACCCTCCCACCCTGCTGGTCACCTACATGAGAGGGAGTGGTGGCCTGGGTGGCTCCTGCAGCCTGGAACATGGCTCGTTGGAGGTGATGGAGGCCCGGACTGGGGACGCGGCACCCGCTGGGTTCTGCAAGGGGAAGTCGGTCGGTCGGGCCCCACAGCCCTTCCCCAGCCTGCAGGGTGGGGGGTGTTTACAGGCTGAGGGCTGGGGGGCTGCGGTTGGGACTTTCCCTAAGTCATTTCCTGTTGCTCTTGGTCTTGCCACTTCCGCCCCTTACCCACCTCCCCCTGCGCCTGTCGGCCCCCCACGCTGCTCCCCCAGGGGCAGGGGCCCTGAGTGGAACCATGTGTCAGGGGAAGAAGAACAAAGTTAGCAGAGAGAGGGCGGGGGGTGCGCTCCCTGGGCAGCCCCGGTGCTCGCCCCGCGGGCCGCGGACCCCTCCGGGGGTGAGCAAAGGAGAGGGAGGCCAGAGGAGGGCGGGCGGGGCGGGGACCCGCTGCCCCGGC